GAGGGGAGGGGCGGGGTCACGTGGAATCTGGCCCTGCGCCCATCCCACGCCACAGCCTGGCCGGCCCAGCGCTGTCCCCTGGACACAGCGCAGACCTGGACAAATCAACGCCCCCCTCCCAGGTCCTCCTCTCACCCCGCCCTCAGTTTGTATAAGGTCCAGCCTTAAAAGCCCACCCAAGGACCCAAGTCCAGCCACCACGCACAGGGGCCCCTGCTCCTCCCGGGCCTGCCGCGCACCCAGCTGGCCCTCGCTGACCCCTCAGCGACCGGAGGAGCATGTGCGCAGCGGGGATTCACCCCTCCCCGGCCACCACCTTCCCCCCTATCCAAAGGTCGCAGGCGGTAGCAAAGAAATACAGCTTTACAAGCACGTGGGTAAAAATTAAATACGCGCAGTGGACAGTTCCAAAGTCCCACAGCCGTGTGGGTTGGAGGGCAGGCAGTAGCGGCGATGGTGACCCCATGGGAAGGGAAGGCATAGGCTCGGGCTCCCGGCTTTCTCCGCACATCCTGACACTGGGCCGGGCGCACAGCGGGCGTCGGGTAAATGCTCCTGCGCTCAGTGTCGTGGGCCAGCGGGGCGCCACCGAGGGAGCCCCAGCAGCAGAGGCATCCCCATCCTGTCACCCTGGGTGGACTTCAATGTCCACTGGCCCAGCCAGCCTCAGCTGGCAGGGATGCCCTGGGGGCCAGTACACCTGCCCCCAGGCGCCAGGAGTCCCGACCCCGGGGAGGTGACCCCAGGCCAAGGAACACCGGGGGAGCACTGTCGGTGCCTCGGTCTCCCTCCCCCTTGGCCTCGGTTGGAGGAGGACTTACGAGACCTAAGCTAGGGAGGGGGCCTAGCAGTGAGGCCTGGGTGGAGACGCAGACGGGGCCACCGACTGGCCTCGAGGGCCTCTCCATCCCGCCGCCCGCAGAGGGCTGAACCTGGGTGCGAGGCACCAGCGGGGTCCCCTCCCGCTCCTGGCCCGGCCCGTAGGCAGGGGCCGCGACGGCTGCACAAGGGCCTCATTCACCGCGCGCCAGCGGCCCGTCGGGCGGCACCAGGGCCCCGCCATCCCAGGGCCTGAGCGCGTGCGCCGCGAGAACCGAGCTGCGCTGGGGCCTGGTGAGGGCTCGCGTGCGCGGGGCGGGGACCCGGGCCGCACATGCAGGGGGTGGGGACCGGGCAGCGCGGGCAGGTGCTGGGGGCGCGGAGTGGGGCGCGCGCGGGAGGGTGCGCGGGAGGGTGCGCGGGGCGGGTGAGAGATGCGCGGGGCGGAGACCCAGGCCGCGCGCTCCCGGAGCAGGGGAAGGGCCCGAGGCCGCGCGTGCTCGAAGGGGGAGATGCGCGGGGCCGCGCGGAGTGCGGACACAGAGCCGCCGCGCCGGAAGACCCGCATCCGCGGTCCGGGAACGCGGGTGGGAGGGTGTCCGGCCCGGGCCAGCTGGAGGGAGAGCCGGGTCGGCCCGGGCCTCTGCCTTCTCTTCTGAGACCCGGGAGCACGCGCGTGCGCGGCGGGTCTTTCGGGAGTAACTGGGTTCCGGTCCTCAGGGCCCTGGAGACAAACGAGCGGTCCACCCTCTTTTCACTTGTGGTAGGGGTACGACGTTTCCTTTCCAAATAAGTGTCCTCAACAATTTAAAACCGTGATTTAAAGACAAATATTGAGGAAATAGTGTGGCACAGGACTGGGCAGGAGGCCCACTGAGAGCAGTCCCAGCAGGTGGAAGGCGTGGAGACCCCATGGCCCCTGCCCCGAGTGGAGAGGTCTGCAGTCAGAGGGCCCACCGGGGTGAGGGGGAGAGTGGGCCTCAGCATCCCCAGGACCCCAAACACCGGCCCCGTGCCTGGCCAGACACAGATAATCTCCGGCCTCAATGCAAACAGGCAGAGGGAGCCGGCTGGGCAGCAGCTCAGGCCCTGGGGGTCTGCAGTTTTCTCAAAGGACACACCTGACCTCAATGTACTACTTCACCTGCTCTAGACACTGGGCCAGGCCGGAGGGGGGTGTGGCTAGGGGTTATAAGACCCAACCCCCGCCACTAAGGACAGCCAAGGCCAGGCCCCCCAGTGCAGCTGACAGCATGGGGGACCTGTGTGCTATGTACACGGAGAACAGCCCCCCAGAATATCTCCACCTGCCTAGACTCCCACCACAGGGGCTTCAAACCCAGCCAGCCTTGGGAAATCCCTGCTCCCCGGCCCAGAGGAGGATGGGACACTTCCTAAATCAGGCTTCCTCACAAATGAGCCCCGCCCTCTCCTGCACCAGCACCCGGGGCCCATTGCTCTCAGGCGCGTGCACTGTGTCTGTACTGGCCCCCACTGCTCTGTGCACCCCGGGGCCCTGCGCCGCACAGCTTGGGCCCTGTCCCCCGCTCCAGGGAGACTGCTGAAGGAGTGGGCCCAGTCCTGGGGGTCAGTGAGGCCCCGCCTGGCAGCCCCATCTCTGCCCACAGGGGCTGCCCCTCTGCCAGTCGCTGGGCGGGGGGTAAGTGTTTCAAGACCCCTCAGGAGCTGCTCCCCCCACCACACACACCAGGAGGTGCACCTTACCTGCCCCAAGGAGGGGCCCAAGGCCCTGCCTCCTGGCCAGCAGCTCCGGTAAACCACGGCTCCCCCCAGGGCTGAGTGGGTCCCTGGCCGGGCTACACTAGGGTGGGGGTGGGGAGGCCCCAGGCTTTGCCCTGGGTGGGTGGGTTCAGAGCCAGAGAAGGGTGAGATCTCGGGGCCCAATGCAGACTATTGAAGGTCAAGAGATCAGATCTGGAAAGATGCAAAAGGCGGGTGGAGGCCCCGGCCCTGTCCACGCCCCACCCTCGCTGCAGCTGTGGGGACGCTCTCCCACTCTCTGGCCATCCCCCTGCCCCCTGGGTTCCACTCCCACCTTTGCCCCCAGATGGGGCTCCTGGGCTCCCCAGCCAGGCCCAGGGAGGCTTCAGAGGTCTCAGAGTGGGGCTGAGTGTTGAGGGGCTTGGATGGGAGCCCCTTAGCACCTCACTGTTCCCTGTACTGGGGATGGAGCCCCCAGAGCCCCAGCTGGCTCTGCAGGACAGCTGGCTATTGATCTTAATTCTCCTCTCAGCACCTGGCAGCCCATGAGGACACGAGAAGCAGGGCTGAGCCAAGTGCCCACAGTGCCTGGCCTCTGGGGACAGCAGACCCAGGCCAGCTTGGCCTTCCAGCCCCACCAAAAGGACCACCGCAGC